CCACCCCTACCCGACTAGGCACCAGGCTCGTGTTCGCCGTGCCCGTGACGAGCAGCTGGCGTTGGAGAGAGAGGAGAGGGAGTTACAGCGGCTGGAGGAGCAGCAGCAGCAGCTGGAGCCGCAGGAGCAGCAGCAGCAGCAGCTGGACCCGCAGGAGCAGCAGTCCCAGCAGCAGCCGCTTCCGCAGCAGCAGCAGTCGCAGCAGCAGCAAGCAAGCCAGCCGCTTCCTCCTCCTGTCTCGGGTCTTCGGACCCTTGGTCTCCCCTCCCCTTCTCCTCCCCCTCCGCCTCTCCTCCTGTCTACGGTCCCACGTTTCCTCCTCCTGACTCCTTCCCCCGCTGTTTTCCCCAGTTCTCCGCCTTTGTCCTCTCCTCCTCCGTCTCGTTCTTGGGCTACTCGTCGCTCCCCCTCAGTGCTCGTCCCTCGTCTCCTGTTCCCTTCACTGACCTTCGTACTGCCTTCCTTCTTCTAGTCCACCTCGTCCGTCTCAGTCTGTGCTTCCGTCTCCTCCTGAGTCGGCCCTCACTGTGTCGCTCCCTACTCCTGTCACTGACTACTACCGCACGTACCGTCCTGTTCTCTCTCGTGTTCGCGCCTCTCTTGTTAATCACCCTCGTGCCTCTGTGTCCTCTGTGTCCGCTCTTACTGCCGCAGTTACTGACTTTGCCTCTACCCGCCGCCCTTGACTACGCCACCACAGCTTGTGGCTGCTCCTCCTACCAGTCCTCTGGCCGTCGGGGGTGTGTCTGCCCTTGGCTGTGACGCCCTAGAGGACAGACAGTTTGAGCTAGAGTTCCTGGCGGCCGCTTCCTCCCTCATCTCTGTGCCATGCTCCTCGCCCCTGAGGGTGACCCCGACGCCCTTGACATTCCGACTCCTCGCACTTACGCTGAGGCAAGTGTCAGGCCTTGGGCACTCTCAAGTGGAGAGCTGCCATGGACGCAGAGATGGCCATCCTACAGATCCACAGGCACCTACGTCGATGAGGTTCCCCCCCCTGGGGCGAACGTAGTCGACGGCATGTGGATCTACAGGGTGAAGCGGCCACCGGGATCTCCCCCGGTCTTCAAGGCGCGCTACGTGGCTAGAGGTTTCAGTCAGCGCGAGGGAGTTGACTTCTTTCAGACCTTCGCACCTACCCCGAAGATGACCACTCTTCGGGTGTTACTATACGTAGCAGCACAGAGAGACTACGAGTTACACTCTCTCGACTTCTCCACTGCTTTCCTTCGGGGCAGCCTACACGAGGAGGTCTGGTTGCGTCGTCCCTCGGCCTTCACTGGCACCTTCCCTCCTGGGACCCAGTGGAGGCTGAGGCGACCTGTTTACGGTCTTCGCCAGGCCCCTCGTGAGTGGCACGACACCTCTGCGTTCTACCCTCTCTGACCTTGGGTTCCAGCCGTCTTCTGCCGACCCGTCGCTGTTCGTTCATCGTGGCTCCACACCGTTCTTTGTTCTAGTTTACGTCGACGACCTCGTTTTCGCCACTCCGGACAGGGTTGCTTTGGCAGACGTGAAGTCCGAACTGCAGAAGAGACACACGTGCACTGATCTTGGTGAGGCTGCACCACTACCTTGGCCTGCAGATCACCAGGGACAGAGCCGCTCGCACCATTACACTCTCACAGTCACACATGGTGCAGCAGGTCCTTCAGCGGTTCGGGCTTCAGCACTCCACCGTACAGCGCACACCTCTCGCTGTTGACCACAGACTCACTGGTCCCTTTCCTGACGAGCCGTTTGAGCCTAGTGGTCCCTACGCATAGCTTGGGGGTTGCCTCATGTACCGGATGACTTGTACTCGCCCGCCGACCTCGCCTTCCCTCTCAGCATCCTTGCGCGCTTTGTTGCGCCAGGGAGACACCGTCCTGTTCACTGGACGGCAGCTGTGAGGGTGGCGAAGTACCTAGCGACTACATCAGGCGTGGGGCTAGTTCTTGGAGGGCAGCAGTCTGTCGTACTCACTGGTCACTGTGACTCCTCTTACTCTGACGACGCTGAGACTCACAGGTCTACTCAGGGGTACTGTTTTAGTCTGGGTTCTGGAGCTGTTTTCCTGGCGTTCCACGCGCTCCTCTTCTGTCTCGACCTCTACAGCTGAGGCTGAGATTTACGCTGGTGCCATGGCGGCACAGGAGTTGCGTTGGTTGACCTTCTTGCTCGCCGACCTTGGTGAGCGGCCGAGCTCTGCACCGACCTTGTTCACTGACAACAAGGCGTCGATCCTCCTCTGTCGTGAGCCGCGACTGGAGAGCAGAGTGAAGCACATTCACGTCAGGTACTTTCTTCTGCGAGAGTTGCAGAGACGTGGACAGGCTCGCTTCGAGTCTGTGGAGTCCGAGGCCAACACTGCAGACATCTTCACCAAGGCGCTTCCGCCTCGTGACCACCAGAGGTGTTGTGTGCAGTTAGGCCTTGTTGACACAGGTTCTAGTCATGTGTAGGCTTGAGTTTATTGCCTGCTTCGTCTGTACTCTTGTTATATATACTTGTGATCTCTTGGACTGGCCTTGTGGCCACTGTTGCTTGTGCTCAGAGAGTGTGGTGACGTTGTGATCCACCCTGAGCTTTGTTTTCTTTGGACTGGTCTTGTGACCGTACTCTTTTTTTATTTTGCTAGACACCCCTCACTTAGGCTATGGGGGTGTGTCAAATGTTGTAGCCTGTAGTGAGGTTTGTCTTAGGGGGTACAGAAGTTAGGGTTTGTTATATGTACCCCAACCAACATCAATGGCATCATCATTCCTCATTCCTGACAGAAGCTTAACGAGGGAGGGGGGAAGCAGGGCATAGGGAGGGGGGAAGTTGGGCAGAGGGAGGGGGGAAGCAGGGCGGTGGGAGGGGGGAAGCAGGGAGGAGGGAGGGGGGGAAGCGGGGGAGGAAGGAGGGGGGAAGCAGGGAGGTGGGAGGGGAAAAGGAAGGAGGGAGGGGGGAAGCAGGCGGAGGGAGGGGGAAAGCAGGGTGGAGGGAGGGGGGAAGCAGGGTGGAGGGAGGGGGGAAGCAGGGTGGAGGGAGGGGAGAAACAGGGCAAAGGGAGGGGGGAAGCTTGGCGAAGGGAGGGGGAAGCAGGGCAGAGGGAGGGGGGAAGCAGGGCAGAAGGAGGGGGGAAGCAGGGCGCAGGGGAGGGGGGAAGCCTGGCGGAGGGAGGGGGGAAGGAGGGCAGAGGGAGAGGAGGTGAGGTCGACGGGGAAAGGAGGTTAGGGCGACGGGGAGAGGAAGTGAAGGCGAAGAGGAGGGGAGAAGAAGTGAGGGCGATTGGGAGGGGTAGTGAGGGAAGCAAACCCTCCCCACCTCTATCCACCCCCACCTCTTTTCTCCTTCTCTGGCTCTCCCCCTCAATCCCTTCCACTCGGTCCCTCCCCCTCTGTCCCCTCCCCTCTGTCTCTCCCCCTCGGACCCCCCCCTTTCTGTCCCTCCCCTCTGCCTCTGTCCCTCTGTCCTTCTCCCTCTGTCCCTCCCCCGCTGTCGCTTCCGTTTTCGGGAAGGGGGGTGGGTGTGTGGGGGGAAGGAGGGCGGGTATGTGGGGGGAAGGAGGGCGGGTATGTGGGGGGAAGGAGGGCGGGTATGTGGGGGGGAAGGAGGGCGGGTATGTGGGGGAAAAGAGGGGGGGCATGTGGGAGGAAGGAGGGCAGTATGTGGTGGGGAAAGAATAGGAGGGGGTGTAAACAAGAGAGAGGGTGGAAGTATGAGAGAGGCAGGCCAGGCAACGAGGGGGATGGGAGGGGAGGTGATTGCAAGTGACCTAAAAGCGTGAGGCACTGTTCCCCCCTATGTCCCTCCCCAACTTTCCCTACCCCACTGACACTCCCCCATCTGAACCCCCTCCTCTGTCCCTCCCAATAAATGAGGCCCGAAGAGGGAGAGAGGGAGAGAGAGAGAGAATAGGATTGAGCAAGAGAGGGAGGAAGATATAGAGCGGGAGAGGGCGGGACAATCAGAGAATGGGAGAGGGAGATATGGAGAGAGTGTGGAAGAGAGTGAGGAAAAAAGAAATGACGAGGGGAAGAGACGAGAGGGGAATAGCGCATGACGAGGGGAGAAACATGTGACGAGGAGAAGCGCGCGTGACGAGGGCCAGCCCCCTCTGTCCCTCCCACTGAGGGCATTCTGTGGAGGAAGGCGGGTGTATGGTGGGGGAGATGGAGGCGGGTATGTGGGGAGGCAAGGGCGACGGGGAGAAGCGAGGGTGTTATGGCGACGAGGGAAACGAGGACGTTGAGGAGAAGAGAGAGAGATGAGAAGAAGCTTGGGTGACTAGTGGAGAGAATGAGGGAAAGTGCCGTTGACGAGGGGAAGCGTGGGTGACGGGGAAGCGAGAGCGACGACGGGAAGCGCGGGTGACGGGGAAGCGAAAGCGACGACTGGAAGCGCGGGTGACGGGGAAGTGAGAGCGACGACGGGAAGTGCAGGTGACGGGGAAGCGAGAGCGACGACGGGAAGCGCGGGCGACAACAAGAGGCGAGGGCGGCGAGGGTCGGCGAGGTGACAAAGTTTGAAGAAAGAAAAGAGGATTGAACTAGCAAGAATGATGATACAAATAGCAAACCCTAGAAGGGTTGTACTCGCTATAGAGCACCCCACTACAGGCTAGAACAATAAGATAATATTCTGACACACCCCCATAGCCAAAGTGGGGTGTAATCAGCAGAGCAGGCAAAGCAATACAAGCTCAGGGTGGATCACAATGTCACCACACATTCTGAGCACAAGTTCAAGAAGAAATAGTTTAGAGTTCACAATTATAAGCAAAGCTAGTGGTAGTCACAACGGGCAAGTGAGGAGGAGGAGGGAGAGTGAGGGGAGAGGAGATAGGAGGCGACGGCTGAAGCTGCAGACACACGGGCAACAGGAGGCAGACTGGCACAGCGGCTACCGGACAGCGCCCGGACTACAGGAGTAACAGGCCCCGCGGCTCAAATAGCGGCGGACGGGCAAACGGACCCACAGGCGGCTGGCGTAGAAGTCTAGCTCACTGGGCTACCGGGACAGCGCCCCGGACTACAGGTGCTGCTGACGACAGACTGGCAACCTCCGCTCATCCTCCCGCACACAGTCCCACCCCCCTGATACACACCCACTGCTACACCGCTAGCTCTACTCCCACGCAGCCCCCCTTAAACCCTAAACCCCAGTCTCCCACACAACCACCCCCCTCAGCGACAGCTGCAGCAGTGGGAGACGAAGGAGGAGGAGGAGCAAAGGGAGGAAGGCACACCGAGCACCCCCATACCCGCCACCCCACAGCTCAGCCCCTCCCGTCGTCCGTCGAGGCGACCTGAGGGGGCCGCTTGGGGGACCAGGGGGGGGGGGGGGGGGGGGGTGTGGGTGAAAGGGGCCCACCACGGGCCTGGTTGGAGGGCGGGGCCGCGACAAGGGGCGGGACCGTGACGGTCGGGGCGGGGCCGCGACGAGGGGCGGGGCCGCGACGTAGAGCGGGGCCGCTTCGAGGGGCGGGGCCGCGACGCAGGGCGGGGCCGCGACGTAGGGCGGGGCCGCGTCGAGGGGCGGGGCCGCGACGGTCAGGGCCGCTTCGAGGGCTGGGCCGCGACGCAGGGCGGGGCCAGCGACGTAGGGCAGAAGCCCGCCGCGCGCCTCGGGGCGCACAGCGGGCAAAGAACCGCCGCGCGCCTCGGGGCGCACGGCAGGCAGAAAACCGCCGCGCGCCTCGGGGCGCACGGCGGGAGGAAAAAAAAAAAAAAAAAAGCAGCGGAAGCGAGGTGGTAACCCACCCACAGGATCGATCCAAGGGGATCGACCTGCTCTGATAGCATGACAAAGTTTGAAGAAATAAAAGAGGATTGAACTAGCAAGAATGAGGATACAAATAGCAAACCCTAGAAGGGTTGTACTCGCTATAGAGCACCCCACTACAGGCTAGAACAATAAGATAATATTCTGACACGAGGGTGATGAGGGAAAGCGCGGGCGACAAGGAAAGTGGTATGATGTGGGAAAGAGCGGCCGACGAGGGGGAACATACGCAAATAACGGCAGTGTGCGTCACCTGAACCTTTAACGGTACGATCGTGACACGGGGCTGATTCGCAGCAAGTGCGACGCGGGATTGAATGCACGGCGCGAGTAGCGCGAAGATCATTCACTAACGTAAGTGCCGCGGGTGAACGGTTTGTTACTCGAGACTGCCGACGTGAGGGGGAGATCGGAGCGTGCGGTGACAAAGATGGTTGAGGTGGATACCTACTTTATATTTCCCACAAAAAAAAACCCTTTCAACGACTCGCTTTTGCCTACTGGAGCTAGTTTTTGCCTGGAGCCTCCTAGTCTATGAGTACTACTTGGTGTCCAAGTTATGTGAGTGGTGGACAAGTGCATATGGTTGGCGATCATCACGTCAATTCTGTTTTTGGGCACTCGGGTTCCGTTGTCGCATGACGATTGCCTGGGGTCGCGAGAGTTTCTTCAAACAAGTAGGGTAACCCTGTTTTTGGCGATTTCAATTAAAGAATCTTGAACTTGAAAAATTACCATGTTGTACTCGGGATTTAATGAGGAAGTTTGTGAACCACATTGCGCTGGTATGTGAGGGCAAAGTCCATTGATTAAAACAAAGAGATACAATCTTTATAAGAGTACAGGAATACGAAGAGATAGTGTTAATAACCGTTTTACTGTTGCTGTTGCGGTTCGATACAGTGACGACTCGGGCAACTGCTCAATAGTGAGTCAGTTGTTTGTCCTTGCTATCATGCTGTAATTGTCAGGTCAAAGGTCGCTGACCTTTGACTTTCGCGTAACCTCCAGCACTTGTTCAACCTCCGAGGGTTGACTCGCTAATGCTTCGATATGTTTCGCTTCGCTTCTGACTCGGTGTTTCGACACGACAGAGACGCTAAATCAATTGTTTCCAACATAAGCAACTCAGAAAACCACAACCAACATGAGTGGTAAAAAGGCACCAGGCATCCTTTCACAGGGCATACAGCAGCTATTTGACAGCGGTGGCGCCATTTAGGCCGTTATCAACAAAACCAGGCGAGGAAAAGGGCAGGATACAACTGGAGAGTGCTAGGTAGATACTTCAAAGCTCAAAAGAGGGGCTACGAGGATAGGAGAAGCGTCCTAGTGACACAATGAGGGGCAGGGGATGGGCGATCGTCCAACAAACAATTAAGGGAGGGGGGAGTGAAAAGATCCAGGGAAAGGGATAGAGGAGGAACAGCAGGACAGAGAAATATCAGGAGGGAAATAAACGCTTATGTATGTGAACAAGGAGTCACGTGTTATTCAACCAGGAGGCAGCAAGAGGCAAACGTGCAGCACAAGCTTAAATCACACATCAGACCTGACAGGCAAGCATTTCTCCATTATCTTTTCCAATTGAGGAAATTATTCCACGTCATTTCCACTGTGTTCGAAAACCATCAGATGAAAACGGATACAGCCTGCTCCTGCATCCCTCGCTGCAAGCGCACTGCTGATGTTCCTGCTGTCCCTCTCCTGCTGTAGCGGCTGCTGAGGGTGCCTGTAGTGCTGTAGCGGTTGCTGAGGGTGCCTGTAGTGCTGTAGCGGTTGCTGAGGTTGCCTGTATGTAGTGGTTGCTGTAACAGCTGCTGTCCTTCTGCTGTGGATGATGATGTAGTGGGTGCGGTGGGGTGCCCTGTAGAGGCTGCTGTAACTGCAACTGTTGGTGTGTCTGGGAAAGATACGAGGTGATCGATTGCTTTCAACAATGGCTTGCAGTGCTTCTTGGGCCGTTGCAGAGTGGTGATGTGCGGTTGGAGGAATACATTGGTGTAGGAGGGATGGCAGGATGCTGGAAAATGGTGAAAAGTGGTGTAAAGAGCTGGCACGAGGGTGACACATGGTGGCACACAACTGGAACAAGGTGGCAGGAGTGTGACATGAGGTGGCACAGGGAGCGCAACACACAAAGGCAGCTTCAGTATCTGCGCTGGCCGATCAGTGATGGAAAAAGGGTGGCATCAAGGCAAGGTATCACAAGTGAATGGTTGAGATTCTTGAGATTCTTAAAAAAAAAAAAAAACAAACAAACAAACACACCATGTTATCACTGCAATCTGAGATGAGACTCGTTGAATTGCAGACCAAGACTAAGGAAACCATCGGGGAAAAGATGAGTGCATACAAACAAATGACCATTGCAACAAAATCTAAATGCACATGTGTACCCAGAACCTGAACATTTTTAAGGCAGCAAGGTGAATGGCGAACTAAGTGGCAAATAAAATGGCAACTTAAGTGGTAACCTAAGGGGCAGCCTAGTCGCAAGGTGGCATTAAAATAACCTAGGAGCCAGCACAACTCGTAAGCGCCCAACCACGTTTCCCCACTGTCACTTACCTAAGTGTCAGTACTTTGGTCCGCTTCATGGGCCCTCCAGACCCCGACCCCATAGGCCTCTTCCCCATAGGCCGGAGGGGCCCCCCTCCCGCTCCCCCCTTTCCCCATCGGCCTCCCCCCACTCCCTCCCCCTCCCCCGGCCTCCCCCCACTGCTTCCCCCCATCGGCCTCCCCCCTCCCCCCCGGATTTCCCATAGGCCCCTTCCCCATCCGGCCTCCCCTCTGGTCGCCCGCTCCACCCCCCCTTCCCCCCGCTCCCTCCCCCTCCCCTCCCCCCTCCTCGCGAATCCCCAGGCCTTCCCCCGCCACCGCTCCCCCCTCCTCCCCCTCCACCCCCTCCCCCTCCCTTCCTCCTCCTCCTCCTCTCCCCCTCACTATCACTCTCCTCCCCCTTCTCCCGATCCTCCCGTAAAGCCTTCGCCTCGAGCTCATCCCAAGTCGGGGCCCTCCTCCTCCTCCTCTTCCTCCTCCTCCCCCTCCTCCTCCTCACTATCCACCACACTCTCATCATCCTCGCTCTCGTCATCGTCATCGTCGGATGCAGCCTCCTCCAGATCCGACGGCTCGTACGCCTGCGATTCCTCCGACTCCTCCCCCTCGCTATCCGACGCCTCGAGATTCAGAAACTCCCACCCACCGTCCGCCAGAAAAGCCTCGGGATCGCTCATAAATATTCTGCAGAATAGCCTTCCAGCTGAGATTCAGCCGCGACTCATAGTACTTGATGTTCATTCGAATTCAGCCATTCTTCACCGAGTCGAGCGATGTGCTCGGGATCGCATCAATCCGCAGCACATCCCGCTTGAAATCCTTGAACACAATCGCCATGTCGAATGTCTTCTGCCCGAGACCCACGCGCTCTAGATTCACAATCTCGACCTCGTTCAGAGTGACCACCAGGAAGGGCACCTCTATCAGCTCCACGAGGCAGTTCACTGTCGGTACAATGAACGCGGACGACTTGTGCGGCACGCCGTGAAACCCTAATTCCCGAACGGCACGTCGAATTCGAGGTCGAGACGAGCGAGCTCGCGGTCCTTCTCCCAGAGAGAATGCACCGCGCTGACAAAGGATTTGAACTCCCGGTTGATCTTGCTCCGCCGCTCCCGCTGCCCTCTGCTCCTCCTCGATTTCATCGGGGTCGTAAGCTGAGCGGCGAGAGCCGCCCACGGTTTGGACCACCTCCATGACCTCGGCGAAGAACTGCACGTCTTTTGTCTTTTTCTTGCCGACCATGATGGGGTTGTGTAGGTGGAAGTGCAGGAGGGTGATCATCTCGTTCTCAGCGGGCTGGAAGAAGGCGTGCTTGATGTTGCCGTACATCACCTCCACCCTCTCGTCCGGCTGGTGGGATTAGAGGGGGGGATAAAAGGGTGGACCGTGGACCAAGGTTAAGGAAGGTAAGGAAGAGGGGAGAAAAGGTGAGGTTCACTGAAGGCGTGCTTGCTGTTGCCGTACATCACCTCCACCCTCTCGTCCGGCTGGTGGGATTAGAGGGGGGGATAAAAGGGTGGACCGTGGACCAAGGTTAAGGAAGGTAAGGAAGAGGGGAGAAAGGTGAGGTTCACTGAAGGCGTGCTTGCTGTTGCCGTACATCACCTCCACCCTCTCGTCCGGCTGGTGGGATTAGAGGGGGGGATAAAAGGGTGGACCATGGACCAAGGTTAAGGAAGGTAAGGAAGAGGGGAGAAACGGTGAGGTTCTCTGAAGGCGTGCTTGATGTTGCCGTACATCACCTCCACCCTCTCGTCCGGCTGGTGGGATTAAAGGGGGGGATAAAAGGGTGGACCGTGGACCAAGGTTAAGGAAGGTAAGGAAGAGGGGAGAAAAGGTGAGGTTCACTGAAGGCGTGCTTGATGTTGCCGTACATCACCTCCACCCTCTCGTCCGGCTGGTGAGGGATTGGTGTGTTTAGAGGGGTGGTGATGGAGTAGGTGAGAGGGTAGAAAGCGGGGGAGTGGTTGCAAGAACCCACCATCACAAAGAACCGCATGCCACCACACGCCACCGCACAACCTGCCTTGGCAGTGGAATAGCGGAACCCGTTCAGATGAGCCTCCAGCAAATTTGTGAGGTGCTTAAGAAGACGCATCACCACAGAAACGCATGCCGCAGCACTATCACTGCACCACACCAGCAACCCACCTTGGCAGTGGAATAGCGGAACCCGTTCAGATGAGCCTCCAGCGACCCGGTGAGTTTTCGCCCCTTTCCGCCGAAGGAAGGTCGGATCCAGAGGTCCGGCAGGCGGGGCGGGGCGGCCCTTGCTGAGCTGGAGCTTCTCCTGCGTGACAAGTGTCGCTCTCTCAGCGCGCTCCGACCTCCCGCTGCCGCACGTGCTTGCTCATGGTCTTGATCAGTTGCACCACCTGGTGATTGTTGCAAGTAAGAGGTAGGGTGAGCGAGAGGAAGGGGGGAAGTTGGTTACCAAAAAAATGGAAACGTTGGTTTGGTGTCGCTCCAACCAGTTCCCACAGCCATAATTTGCTCATTGTATTGATGATGAGTGGCACCACCTGGTGTTGCAGTGAGAAGAGGAGGACAGTGGGAGGGCGGAGAAGGTAGTTGCGGTGAGGGTAGAAGGGAAAAGGCTTGTTCATGGATTGACTGAGCTGCACCAGGTACACGTTTTCTGATTATATGCCACCTGACTATAAGGTCACACGGTAATGTGTGACGTTATAAGTCTAACGGATTCCCTGTTGGCATGCCGGGAATCCGTAGACTTGAAGAAAAGCTCCTTGATAACGTGTGAGTCTTATAGACTCTGGGATGCTATCTGGGATTTCTGCATGGGCGGGTCGGCGGCACTGAGCCCCGCACCCGGAACGTTGAAGATGATGCGGATGTAGATGTGCCCTCCGTCCTGCTGGCTGGCACTCCAGGCTACCTGCCTCTTCCTCTTCCCACAAGCATGACTACCTGCATGAGATGGCCTCATGTACCCACCTTTTTAGACCGGGTTACCTGGTTACATGTGCTTACTTGGTTGGCATGCCGGGAATCCGTAGACTTGAAGGAAAGCTCCTTGATAAAGATGCTGTCCGGAAATTTCTGCATGGGCAGGTCGGCAGCGTTGAACCCTGCGCCGGGCACGTTGAAGATGATGCGGATGTAGATGTGCCCTCCGTCCTGCTGGCTGGTGACGTTGCGGATCATGCACACATGGAACGGCACGAGCAGCCCGTATATGGGGAGTAGCACCGACTCGTGCCGCTGATCCACCTGGGAACAAGGGGGCAAGGGAGGTAGAGAGAGCGGTGGAGAGGGGTGAAGGGCGGAGGGGAGGGATTGTGTGGGTTGGAACGGCATGAGCAGCCCGTATATGGGGAGGAGGACAGACTCGTGGCGCTGATCCACCAGGAGAGAGGGGAGAGGAAGGGGAGAGAGGAAGGGGGGAAGGAGCGAGAGCGGTGGGGAAGGGTGTGGAGGAGAGAAAGGTGTGTGTGCGGGTGGAAAGACACAAGAGGACGGACTCGTGGCGCTGATCCACCAGGAGAGAGGGGAGGAGAAGGAGAGGAAGGGAGAGGGAGGGCAGTGGGATAAGCTGTGGGGTCAAAAACAGAGGGGTGAGGCTTCGTCCACAATCACCATACAGCACCAGATCAAGTCTCTGCTGCTCAATCCATCCATGAACTATATGCTCTCATACATAAATACATATAGCTTTCTTTACGAAAGAAGAAGAAGAAAAGAAATCCTTCCCCTCCCCCTCCCCCCACCCCCTCCGCTCCCACCCTTCCCCCCACTCTCCCCTTCAGCTCGCCCCCCAACTCCTACCCTACCTGGATCTTGTAGTCCTTCATGGCAAGGGGTATCTCGTCCACATCCCCGTACGACACCAGGTCGCTCGTCTGCCTCTTCGCCCCCTCGCCCCCACCCTCCATCCCCAACTGCCACCTACCTGAATCTTGTAGTCCTTCATGGCAAGGGGAATTTCGTCCACATCCCCGTACAACACCAGGTCGCCCGTCTGCCTCTTAGCCCCCTCGCCCTCGCGTGCGCCCAGCCCCCCAGCAGCCAGCCGACGAGCCGTCTCCTCGATCTTCTGCTTCGCCAGCTCCGCCTGCGCTTGTCATTGTCCTCTCAACAACCACCTACCCTACCCCCATTCTTTCCAACGCCTCCTACCTGGATCTTATAGTCCTTCATGGCCAGAGGAATTTCGTCCACATCCCCGTACGACACCAGGTCGCCCGTCTGCCTCTTAGCCCCTCGCCCTCGCGTGCGCCCAGCCCCCCAGCAGCCAGGCGCCGGGCCGTCTCTTCGATCTTCTGCTTCGCCAGCTCCGCCTGGTGCTGCCGCCGCAGCTCCTCTTTTGTGGCCTCCTGGTTCTCCGACCGCAGGTGAGCCCGGGCGAATACAGCCGGTTCTCCAGCCCCTGCTGCTTCTGCCGGTCGCTTGCCCTTGTCCGTGTCCTCCTCCTCCTCGTCTTCCCCCTGACGAGGGAAGGGAAGGGAGGGATAGAATGGGAGAGGTGAGACACGCAAGTGGAGCCGCAACTCCTTTGTGGCCTCCTGATTTTCCGACCGCAGGTGCGCCCGTGCGAACACAGCAGGTTCTCCAGCCCCTGCTGCTTCTGCTGGTCGCTTGCCCTTGTCCGTGTCCTCCTCCTCGTCTTCCCCCTGGCAAAGAAAAAACGAGTCAAGAAGTGAAAGGAGAGGGAGCGATCAGAGAAGCAAGGAAGGCAGCAGCGAGCCGCCGGGCCGTCTCCTCTCCTCAATCTTCTGCTTCGCCAGCTCTGCCTGGTGGCAGCCGCCGCAGCACCTCCTTTGTTGCCTCCTGGTTCTCCCGCGCGACACAACGGGCTCTGCCCTGCCTGCTGCTTCTGCCAGTCGCACGCCCTCGTACTCCCCCTCTTCCCCCCATCCCATCCTCCTTGCACCACTCTTCTGCCACTCCTTCCCCCCTCATTCCCCCCTCCTTTCCCGCCTCCTTTCCCCCGTCATTGCCCCCCAAATCCCCTCTTCAACCCCCCATTGGCCCCACCTTGAGCGAGTATGCAACGTCGGCGAATGACTTGGAGGCAGAGGCAGTGGCGACGTCCACCAGCGGTCCTTGTCAGCAGAGGCCCTCACCGTCACCGTGTCCGCATTGACCTTGCATTCCCCCTTCATCCCACATACCAAGCACACCTTTAGGGAGTAAGGGGACCTCACCTTGAGAGAGTAGGCAACGTCGGCGAATGACTTGGAGGCAGAGGCAGTGGCGACGTCCACCCAGCGGTCCTTGTCAGCAGAGGCCCTCACCGCCACCGTATCCGCCACCAGCAGCAGCGCACCTAGACCCCACAGTGCCTTCCTTACCCTTGCAGTGCCCCTTCACCCCACACACCCCACCCTCCTTGAAGGGGTGAATAAGTAAGAAGACCTTGAAGGATCCCACACAGCGAGCACACCTTGAGCGAGTAGGCAACGTCGGCAAATGACTTAGAAGCAGAGGCAAGTGGCGACGTCCACACCAGCGGTCCTTGTCAGCAGAGGCCCTCACCGCCACCGTATCCGCCACCAGCAGCAGCGCACCTAGACCCCACAGTGCCTTCCTTACCCTTGCAGTGCCCCTTCACCCCACACACCCCACCCTCCTTGAAGGGGTGAATAAGTAAGAAGACCTTGAAGGATCCCACACAGCGAGCACACCTTGAGCGAGTAGGCAACGTCGGCAAATGACTTAGAAGCAGAGGCAGTGGCGACGTCCACCCAGCGTCCTTGTCAGCAGAGGCCCTCACCGCCACCGTATCCGCCACCAGCAGCAGCGCACCTAGACCCCACAGTGCCTTCCTTACCCTTGCAGTGCCCCTTCACCCCACACACCCCACCCTCCTTGAAGGGGTGAATAAGTAAGAAGACCTTGAAGGATCCCACACAGCGAGCACACCTTGAGCGAGTAGGCAACGTCGCAAATGACTTAGAAGCAGAGGCAGTGGCGACGTCCACCCAGCGTCCTTGTCAGCAGCGGCCCTCACCGTCACTGTATCAGCCACCAGTAGCGCATACTTCCTCAGCTTTGCACTGCCCCCTTCCCCTCCTTCCCCCCCTCCTTGCCTCCAGCGCCATCAGCGTTTCCGTTCGCTTCGGCCCCCTCCTACCCCTCCCCCGGCCTCCGGATTGGTGAGGCCGTGCAAGCCCAGCACCACGTTGAACGCCATGCCCGATTTCACCGTCCGCTCGTTCTTGGCGTTCAGGGTCAGACCAGCTTCGCGGAACTCTGGGCCAAGGAGGGGAAGGAGGGAGCGAGCAGGGGAAAGAAGGGGGGAGGGGAGGGGAAAACGATGAATAGGAGTGGGAGCCACACTCGAAACTGGGGTTGGTGAGGCCGTGCAAGCTCAGCACAGCACCATGTTGAACGCCATGCCCGATTTCACCGTGCGCTCGCTCTTGGCGTTGAGGGTCAAACCGGCTTCTCGGAACTCTGCAGAGCAGCACAGGGCAACACAGGACAGGCAGGCAGACAAGCAGGGGGCAGTGTGAGGCCGTGCAAGCCCAGCACCACATTGAACGCCAGGCCTGATTTCACCGTCCGCTCGTTCTTGGCGTTGAGAGTGTGGCCGGCCTCGTCGGAATTCTGGACCAATACAGAAGGAGGGGGAGCGGAGGGGAGCGGAAGCGAGGAGGGGAGGGGAAACGATGAACAGGAGTGGGAGCCACACTCGAAACTGGGGTTGGTGAGGCCATGGAGCCCCAGAAGCACCCTGCCTGAACGCCCTGCCTGATTTCACTGTGCGCTCTTTCTTGGCGTTGAGAGTGAGACCGGCCTCTCAAAAATCTGCAGCACAGGACACCGAGCCGCGCAGGGAGCACAGGGCATGAAGGGGGCAGTGTGAGACTGCGTAGCCCTAGCTTGAAGCACCCAGCCTATCCCTCAACCCCTTCTCTCACTCACCGATGCCTACGCCGTGCAGCGTGTTTGGTCAGGTGGGGAGCACAAGCTCTGGAGCTCGGTACACATCTTTCATCTGCACCCCAAACTACCAGCCTTAGCGCCACGCCTATGCCTACCCCCTTGTCTCACCGATGCCTATGCCAGTGCCGGCGTGTTTTGGTGAGATGAGGCACCAGCTCTGGAGCTTCCCTCTCCACCACCGCCACTGCAGCACGGTACACATCGCCCAGCCGTACCCCCGGCTTGATCGCTGCAATCGCTGCTTCCTGTGCCCTCAGCAATACCTGGTGATGTGGTGGGAGGTTAAAAAAAAAAGGGGGGGGGGGGGGGGGGGAGGGGGGAGAGAGAGGGGGGGGGGGGGGGGGGGGGGCGGGGGGAGAGAGAGGAGAGAGGGGGGGAGGAAAAGCAACAAGAATATGAATCGCGTAAGGATTTGAAAATGAGGTGTTGACACCAAAATAGAGTTAGTAAAATAAAGTATATGGAATGAGAATTGACCAGGTTCTGGAATAATCTTCACGAAGTGTTTTGAGATCAGCATTATACAAAACCCCAGCCCCCCACATACCTCCTGTGCAGCCCTTCCCAGGCCTTCTCAAGCACTCCTCTCACCCTCCACCCTCCCCTCACCTGGTACGCTTTCTCCTGTGCCTTGGTAGCATCAATCAGGTAGGTGCGCGCCACATTGGAGCAGTAGGAGGCGTATCTGGCGCCGATGGCACAGATGATGACGCCCATGGAATCGTAGCAGAGAGGGTCGTCGCTGCTCACTGCTGGACGCTCGCAAGTCATATTGCCCTCCACTCTGCCGAGGGAAAAGCACAGGGGAGGGATGGGGGTGGGCGGAAGAGAGGGAAAGGGTGAGATAGGATGGTGCAGATGATGACGCCCATGGAGTAGTGTCACAAATGAATTGTCTCTGCTCACTGCTGACGCCCTCAGTCGTACTGGTCCCCGCTCTGAACAAGACAAGAGAACACAGGGGAGGGGTGAAGGGAAGAGGAAGGGATGGAGAGAGGTGATGGCGCAGATGATGACACCCATGAAGTCATAACACAGCGGGTCGTCTCTGCTCGCTGCTGACGCCCTCAGGTCGTACTGCCATCCGCTCTGAACGGCGAGGGGTTTGTGGAGGTGTGGACGGAGTGAGAGGGGAGGGATGCAAGGAGAGAAGGGGTGGAGAGAGGGGATGGAGAGGGGATGGAGAGGAGGCGATGGAGAGGAGCGATGGAGAGGAGGAAAGGAAAGGTGGGATGGAGAGGTGGGTGGGATGGAGAGGTGGGTGGGATGGAGAGGTGGGTGGGATGGAGAGGTGGGTGGGATGGAGAGGTGGTGGGATGGAGAGGTGGGTGGGATGGAGAGGTGGGTGGGATGGAGAGGTGGGTGGGATGGAGAGGTGGGTGGGATGGAGAGGTGGGTGGGATGGAGAGGTGGGTGGGATGGAGAGGTGGGTGGGATGGAGAATGGTTGAATAGAAGAAGACTACAAAAGTGACAAACATCAGGCGGATCACAGCAGAAAAAATGTGCCGTCACAGTTAACTTACCTGCAAGACGGGGGGAGTGCAGACATGGCAGTTATCTGGAAAACAGGTGTTATGCACCTGGAAGACGGGCGGGTAGCAGATGTACCTGGAAGACGGGCGGGTAGCAGATGTCACAGTTGTCGGGCTTGAGCTTGACTTTGATCTTGGCGGGGTCGGTGATGACCTCCTCTGTCTGCTCCATCAGCTCCGCGTGCGTCATGCTGCGCTCTTCGTCGATCAGCACCTCCATCTTGGCACCACGAACGCCTGAGGTTGGGGAGAGAAAGTGAGACATGGCCGGGGAAGGAGGGGAGAAGGAGGGGAAGGAGGAGAGCGAGGGGAATGAGGAAAGCCAAGTGTGTCATGCTGCACTCCTTGTCTATCAGCACCTCCATCTTGGGCACCACAAAGGCCTGAAAGGGGAGGGGCGGGAGGAAGGTGGGGATGGAGAAGCATGAGGGGAGGCAAGTGCGTCATGCTACGCTCCTCGTCTATCAACACCTCCATCTTGGGCACCACGAACGCCTGGGAGGGGGGGAAGCGGGGAGAGACAAGAGCGGGGTCGAAATGAGGAGACGGAGAGGAAGGGAAGGACGAGCTGCGCTCCTTGTTCATCAGAACTCCATCTGCGGCATCACAAACGCCTAGAAGAAAGAAGGCGGGCCGACCCCTCCCCACCCCATCCCACCTCACAGCAACCCTACTCCACCCCATCCACCCCATCATCCAATCATTCGCGTCTTTCATCCAGACCCACCCCATCCCAGCCACACCACCCGACCCAACCCCCCCCATCCAAACCCATCACTCCACCTTGAGCGCCTGCGTGCTAAGGAACGCGGCCTTCTTGATATTGATCACCTCGCCCTCATCCTTAACCGCCAGGACATCCCCTCTTTCATCCAAACCCACCACATCCAACCACATCCAACCCCATCACACCTTGAGCGCCTGCGCGCTAAGAAATGCGGCTTTCTTGATATTGATCACCTCGCCCATCCTTAACCGCCAGAACATCCCCCAGCCGCCGGCCCACATCCACCGTCTCCAACCCCTCTCCACCACTCTCCCCCGCCCCTCGCCCCCCACCCGCTGCTGCCTCCACTGCCGCCGCCCATTTCTCCATAATCGCATCGCCCCCTCCGGAGCCTCCTTGCCAGCACGCCCAGCCGCACCGGACCTCCGCCTGCCAAACCTGCGCCGGAGGCTCGGATGGCGTCGATGACCTGCGCCATCTGGGAGGACCCGTCCTCGCTGCGAGGCTTGGGGTGCAGCACCATCTCCACTCCGCCTGGCGCGGGGGGGAGAGAAGGGGGAGGGGGAGGGGAACGGGGAATGGGGGAAGAGGAGGGGGGACAGGTAGAGGTCGCTTAGGTCAAAATACTACTGGCCGTCCTTGCTGCGAGGCTTGGGGTGCAGCACCATCTCCACTCCACCTGGCGCGGCGAGAAGGGGGTAAGGGAGAGGAAAGGGAAGGAGGGGAGGAAAGGGGGGGGAGGAAGGGGGAGTGGGGAGGGGGAGAGGGGGAGTGGGAGTGGTCTGGTAAGACAGATATTAAAATCGTCTATTGGCTGGTCAATTAGGGTGGCCGGTCACTTCAGGTGTATATATACTCCACTGTCTACCCTAACCTTAGAACACCGCTCCCCCACCCCATCCAACCCCCCTCCCTTCCTCACACCCTTCCCCCTCTCCGGATTCTCATCATCCGAACGTCTAACGCATCTCCCCTTATCTCTCCCGGGCTGATCCTATCGTCTGCCCTCGCTCCTAACACCCGCTCTCCCCCTCCCCCATCCAACCTCCCTCCCCGCCTCACACCCTTCCCTCTCTCCAAATCCTCATCATCCAAACATCTAACACATCCCCCCTTATCTCTTCCGAACTGATCCCAGGCAAATCTCTCCCCCTACCGGATTTCTCCGCGCACACGCGCCTGACGGCCTCCAGATGCTGTGCCTTCTTCTGGCTGCACACCACGTGCACCGCTCCGCCGCTTCCGCCGCCTTCCCCGCCGACTCCGCCGCCCCAGCAGAAACACCATGACAGTCTCGGGGAATTCGTAACCCAGTAACCAGATCTGCAGCGCCGACGACTTAAGGTATCGCATGTCCTCGCTCGCCGGCGGAGTCGCGACGGCGAACGCGCTCGTGTAACCCCACGAACGGCTCTCGTCCTTTCGCCAGCTGTCGTAGAGAAGCTTCAGGCGGCGGCCCGAACGTGTCCAGATCGAGCTGTAGCCCGCTTCCGCCGCCGCCGCCGCCGCCTCCGGAGGGTTTGGAATCTCCCATCTCGACTGTTTACGTACTTTTGTTGATATAATTGGGTGGCTTAGTATCAATTCTCAGATATTCCGCTCTCAGAGTGGGAATAAAGGGTAGTATGCTGTCTAGACGGTAATATGAAACGTTTCGAATATCTAGATATTGCTATACATGAAGCTCGAGCAGGAAACACAATCTCTCAGGATCTGCTATTTGCTTGGGACGCCCAATTTCGGTTGGAGATGCTTCACGGAGCCTCGTTTCAGAAACTGTCGGGCTTTTGCGACTCCTGATTGCTTTATCACTGAGATAGGACGAGTGTTCTAAAGAGCACCCGCTTATAGTCGATCGGGAAGCCTCAGGCCTCAGAATTACTCGTCCACGTGATTTCTCGTGCGACGAAGTGACCATAAATCTGCTTAGCCAAGCTCTCATCTGCGAACAAGATTCCGCAAAACCTGGTGCCGCGAACGTCACGTGGAGATGGGAGAGAAGGTTCTGAAGAACACGTACGGCAGCGCACCACGTGCAGCAGAAACAATTCTCCCTACATGAAGCAACTAGGTCCTTACACGCACGCTTAGCTAGCTAATGCGGGATCGCGTGGGATCCTAGGTGAGGACTCATGCTAGGGAAAGAGGAGTTATGATTTGGAAGCATGAACACAAGAACTACATGTGTGCGAAGTGGACAACTGATATCGCGAAAGACTGTTGAATGTTACTGAAAAGCCATATGATAACTGTAAGGAAATTCCCTTTTCCTTACTTCGCATCTCTGCTCAACGCGTACATCACTGTAGCACCTCAGTCAGCACCGTTACCACTCGCGACCATCGCATCATTCATCATCCCGCCATTTTCGCACATCGCATCCCGACCTCACGGCTCGGCTGGTAACCCGCGCTCCGGGCCTACGCTTCGACACTTTCCCAACCTCAGTCCCAGGCTCGTCGCGCGACCATTACCGTTACCACTGTAGTTTCGCTATATATTCTTCGCTCATGCCTTCGCTCATTGTACTCTTGCTTCGATAGTGCAATTCTCGTTCGTTCACTCAATTGCACTCGTAACACTTGCTATTCAGAGCCTACGATCCCATCTCGGACCGCATCCACACCTTCGCTTCCCCACTATCTCAATTTTTGGGGGGGGTAGACGTCTCTCAGCGATACAGCACCGCCGCTCGTAGTGTCTCTCTCGCAAGCACGCACGGCCACGACCAAGCTCTCGCTGAGCTTGCCCGACACCCCCGCCATGGACGACTTCACGCTCGCCACATTGACGCAGGAGCAACTTGATCGTCTCGTGCGTCAACTGGAGGATTCGGCGCTTGAAATCGCGACCCTCACGGCGGAACGTGACTCCGCCCGTCAACAATCCACGATGAACATACCGACGACATCCCACGCACACAACAAACGCATCTGCACGTTCGGATGAGCCGATCATCATCTCGTCCGGCACACCAACACAACACGACAGCACGGGACAACGCTCAGGCGCAGCTAGTGAGGGCGCCGCCCAGCCGATGCCTGGCATGGAGGAAACAGGATCGCACCAAGCCCACGGGAGCCTCGAGAAGTCCGTCGGCACGTGGAATTTGCGGCGACAAGTGGCGAACAACCCAACATGGCACCAATGCCGCTCAAGCCGCAACGCCCGCCCTGCTTCGACCCAAGTCAACGCGGCGGTCCGACAGTTCAATCGTGGGTCTTCACGATGAACGTTTTCTTCGACGCCAATTACGTCGAGTCGGACGCCGCAAAGATCCGGTATGCGGTTTCACTACTAAGGGGCCCCGCCATGGACTGGTGGCGAGTCATCGTGACGTCGCCACGCGCCTACGAGCCACCGTCGCACGAGGATGGGCCCTCGGGTCCAGCTGTCACCTGGAGTTCGTTCTGCGAAACCGCCCAATACAGCACGTGGGATGCGTGGTGCGCAGGACTTCGGGCGCGCTTTGAGCCGATCGCGGCTTCAATTTCGGCGCGTCAGAAACTGCGCACTTGGCGCCATCTCGGGTCAGTTCAAGACTATACCAGCGGTTTTTCTCGCACTTTGCGAGCAAGTCGGCTACATGCACGAAGCGGAGAGCGGTGGACCGTTACGTCGGAGGGCTGAAGCCGGACATCTCGCACGAGATAATGCTGCGCGGACTCTCTAACTTCAACGAGATTCTCGCCGCTCGCCGAGAAGATCGACATTCTACGCCGACCGAGACCGGGGTCCTATTACGGACATCGTCCTCGGGGACCGATCGAGCACGCCATTGTACACGCCGTCGCAACGAATGCAGCTGCCGCACCGTTTAAGGGGCGCTGCTTTGCTTGCAACAGGCCGGGCCATCGCAAGAGCGAATGCCCAGAGGAGCTGAGGCGCCGAGGAGCAGAGCAGGGGAGGGAGTCTCAGAGGCAGGGAAACGCCAGCAGTCAGTAGAAGTTGGCCAACTACTGACGAGACTGCCTGCTCGCCCAACCACACCGACCCTCACCGAGTCACAGTACCGATTTATGCCATCGATCGGGCTCGGATGAATAAGGAGGGTACAGAGACGGATTGCCCGGTACTAATCTACGGGAAAATACAGGGAGCAGCAGTGAAGATTTTTATTGGACGAGGAGCAAGTCACAGCTTAGTTGATACCGCAACCGCACGGAAATTACAGTTAACACTTAACCGATGCTTACCTGAGATAGATGCACGCTTAGTCGACGGCACGCCACTGGCTATACGGGAAAAGGTGGAGAGAGTAAAGGTCCGCTGCGGAGGGAACTTCGGGTTTACACAGGAAATGCTCGCAACGACACTGGATGGGCACGACATTTTATTGGGACGTGATTGGCTGCGACGGTATAACCCACGAATTGACTGGACGACAGGTAGCTGCACAGTGCGAAGTAGTGGTAACTGGGTCGTCCTACCTCGCTGGCAGCCACCCGAGTCTTCAACGGTCCAGGTCAACGCCATCACGATGAAACGGGCTGTCGCTGCTAGAGCTGACGTGTACGCAGTGGATATCGCATTAGTGGAAAAGAGGAACCGGCCGAGTGATTTGCAGAAATCTGTTGGCAGCCGTACCACCCGAACTACAGGCACTACTGAAACGGTTCCCGGGTATCTTTCCGGATGATTTACCGCAAGGGCTGCCACCTCAGCGGGCGCATGACCATAGGATCGAGTTAGAACCGGGGGCACAGCCAACTGTACAGCGCCAATTTCGACTGACACAGCCCGAGCTCGACGAGCTAAGGAAGCAGTTAGATTACCTGTTAGAGAAGCAGTTTATCCGACCGAGCTCGTCACCGTTCGCCGCACCGATACTGTTCACACCGAAAAAAGACGGGGGTTTCGCATGTGCATCGACTACTGAGCGCTTAACAGGGTAACAGTAAAATCACGATACCCCATCCCCCGCGCCGACGAACTGATCGACCTGCGAACCGCACGAGTATTTTCGAAAATAGACTTACGGGGAGGTTACCATCAAATTCGGGTCGAACCATCGGACTGCGCCAAGACAGCATTTAGGACTACGTACGGGTCATCCGAGTACACGGTGATGCCTTTCGGGCTGACCAACGCGCCTGCAACATTTCAGATGACCATGAACGAGGCGTTTAGGCCACTTTTAGATAAATGCGTCATAGTTTACCTCGACAACATCCTCGTTTACAGTCGGGACCAGCAGCAGCACTTAGTAGATCTCGAAGCAGTTTTTAAATTTTAGAGGCACATCGATTACTCACCAAGGGCTCCAAGTGCGAGTTTTTTCGGGACAAACTAGAGGTTTTTAGGTCACGTCATTTCGGAGGCTGGGGTTGAGATAGACCCTAAGAAGCTGATACCGTAAAAGCGTGGCATCCCCCGACGAACATCACGGAACTACAGAGTTTTTTAGGGTTTGTTAATTACGTTCGTCGGTTCGTCCCAGACATGGCACGCTTAACAGCCCCGCTCACTGATTTACTGCGTAAGGGGGTCCCTTTTACGTGGGGGAGAAAGAGCATGCTGCCTTCTCTGCCCTGAAAAAAGTTCTCTGTTCACCACCCGTCCTACGCATCGCTGACCCACACCGCCCCTTCGAAGTTGTTACAGACGCGAGTGACATCGCCATCGGAGCCGTACTGTTACAGGACTTCGGCAACGGCCTCCAACCCATCGCCTACAAATCACGCAAGCTACATCCACCTGAGCGAAATTACCCGATACACAACCCGAAATGCTCGCAATCGTGCATGCATTCAAAGTGTGGCGTTGCTACTTGACCGGCGCAGACGTGACAGTACGGACAGACCATCGATCCCTACAGTACCTTCGCGCACAGCCCCACCTCAACCCACGACAGATTCGGTGGCTCGACTTCCTCGAATCGAATTTCCACTATACGGTCACATATAAAAAAAGCCTCGAATATCGCCGACGCACTGACCCGCCACTGCCCAAATACATGCGATACTAATCGCCCAGCCACCCGTCACTGACAGGACTATTTACCCACGGATATCAAACAGACCCATTCTTCACAGGAAATTCACAGCAATTCGCAGCAGCCAAGGGAGCCTATTACGTAAAAGCTGGATCCGACTCATCTGGGTACCAGGGTACACGCTACTACGCTACGGAACTGCTGTTACAGGAGGCACGCGACGGAGTTACCTCGGGACATTTCGGAGTAGAAAACACGGCAGCAGCTGCAGCGGTACTATTACTGGCCGGAAATGTTGACCGACGTGCAACGACACGTGGCATCGTGTCCCACTTGCCAACTCATGAAGTCAGCCAGGAAGCGGCCGGCATGACAATTACAACCAATCCCACCTCCAGAGCGTGCTTGGCAGCAGGTG